TCGCTTTGCCAAGCCCGGCAAGGCCCAGTTATGTAGCTGGGCCTTGCATGGGCCTGGTAAATGGATGGTAAGTTGAACATCGATGCATCAAGTTAATACATCGCTTTGCCAAGCCCGGCGAGGCCCAGCTGCGTGGCTGGGCCTCGCGTGGGCCTGGTAAAAAGATTAGATGGTAAATTTTGAATTGACCATCGATCCATCAAGTTAATACATCGATTTGCCAAGCCCAGGGGGGCCCAGCTAACCTTGCCTGGGCTTGGTTTAAATTAATTTTAGCATTGATTTACCAAGCCATTCAAATGTCAAGTTAAGGGCGGGCGGCGCTCTCTTTTTTTCCCATGACCATCCCCTTCATGGCAGTAGCGAAGGTTCACCCTCTGAACACCCCGGACGTGTGCAAGTCCATCCGAGAAATTTTATCTAGGAAGGAAACCTTGCACAAAAGACTCGGATCATGTTGACACTCAGCTTTGGTCGCCAAGACAAAACTAGCTTCTTGTCTAGTCTTCGCGAGCTTCCAGTGGCTGAACTTCACAGGCTTGTTCAGCAAAGACCTGACATTCTTCTCAAACTCAGGGTGTTGGTTCTTGAACTCGGCTGTGAAGAAAAATGTTCGAGGGGTCCCACATGCTTTTTTGAATTTCACCTTGAATCCTTGCTGGCCATTGAACAGGCAGGCGTCCATGACAATCAAACCAAGTCCAGCCGCAAAAAGCCTGGCCCTTTCAGGCATGTTGGCGCATCTCCTTGGCATCAATGTCGGGCGGTTCCAACTTGGTCTGCTTCGTCGGGGTTTCCACTGCCGAGCCCCCGTCTAAGCTGCTGCAGGCTGAAAAGGACAAATCAGTGTCAGGTTCCATCATGGCTGCCGCTGACGAAAAATAATAACCACTAGTCGTCGTACGGTGTGAGTTTACAAAAATTGTTTTATCCAATGTTACCCTCTTAACATGCGCACCAAGTTGACCAAAGCTTTGGTTGAAGTTACCCTCACATTAAAATATGATTGACCGCATGTGTCCATTGCCAACTCTGACCGAGATTGAAATTGCTGCAGGGCGCATGTGACTTCACGCAGGGCTACACCGTGTCCCAAACCTGTCTCCCCAACCGATCAGTGTCCTTGATCGCATTGACGATTCACTGTCCATCGTCAGCCTCGAGCCAATGATGAAAAGTAATCACAAATTAAAAGGATGAAACTTGATTCAATACTGACGACAAGACGACAGCAGTGATGACAACATTAACGACAAAACTGTCTGGATGCAACGCAAGCAACCCCTTCAAATCGCCGCGCACGCTTCTGCCTTGCAGGCCAATCCAATCTCATGACACAACATTACGGAAAATCAATCAAGTCAACTCACAAGCCAACGAAACTTCATCTTAAACATGTTTTTAATTTAGCTCCAGCCACCTGTCATCTTTTCCAACGGTGCGGAGGGTAGCCAACTTCTGCAGCTCCAAATAGAGGTCCCTCAGCTGCGAACGGTATGATGACGAAAGGACATTTGCATCCACAAAGTCCAAAATAAGAAACTGCAAATGAGACGAGACACTCTCCGTCGTCATTGTCATGGTCCAAGTTTGCCTCCTCACTGCCATCGTCCTCCGCCTTCTCTTGCTTCACTGTCACCTTGCCACTGCCACCCTCCGCCTTTTTCTTAGCCTTTGCCTTTTTGCGGCGGGTCTTCCTCTCCTGGTTGGCCATGGACTTGAGCTGAGGGTCAGCATTACCCTTTCTCCGGGCTCTTTCAATCGCTGCTCCAGTCTTCGGCTGAACCCAATCTCCGCAGAGCTCTGAAAGTTCTCCTCAGAGCTCAAAGATGACTTGATAATTCCATCAAGCTGCAAATTGAATCCCTCAAAAACCCGACGAAAACAAAAACACGCAAACAGAACAAAATCAACGCAAAACAAAACAAGGAAAACCGAAAAACAGAGCTCAAAAAAACGCAAACAGAACAAAAACAAAACAAAACAAATCTGAAGCTTGACAAGGCACCGACCACAGTCAAGGCACGGACGTGGCTGGGGGTCGACATCAGCTGGTAGAATGCCGTCTGCAGTGACCCATTGAATGCCGGCCAGTTAACGCGAGGAATTGTGACATCCTCCGTCGGCAGGTCCTCGTACAACAGCTCGCCACACATCATCTCATACCTCGGAATGCGTAACATGTCACAGAAAAAAAACCGCCCACAGCAAAACTCCTTCCAAAATTGACCAGCAAACAACTTCATAATTATCTTCAGAATTAGTTGCAACACGCATCCCAAGCCCCAAAGATCGGCTCTGATTGTCATGGGGACAACCGAATTCCAGATATCATAGGGCAGGTAATTGGGTGTTCCTGCCACAGTCACATTCGGCCCCATCTCCACTGTCAAACCGAAGTCCCCAATCTTTGCAATGCTGCCGCTCACAAAGATATTACCGGGTTTTATGTCCCGGTGTATCAGCCGCCTGCTGTGCAAGTGCATCAGGCCGGACGTGATGTGCTTCAGGAATTTCCCCGACATCTCCGGCGGCAAGTGACCCAAGCGGTGCTTCCTGATCTCTGTATGGAGATCGCCATCCAAAAGCTCCATCTCGATGTACCTGATGCCTTGGCTGAAGGTAGTTATTTTCATTGACAATGTAACACATAAGTGCCAAAAAACAACATGCACCAAAATGAAAAATAAACGTCCACTAAACAATGACAATAATAATATGCGCACTCAAACCGAAAAAAAGCCACTGCAGCCTCCCTTTGTGAAGTCTCCACACCCATAAATCGGCACTAGGTGGGGGTGGCGCAGGGTCAGCATGATCTTTCCTTCCTGCGGTGGCTTTGGAAAAAGCCAAACCTGAATCATGATAAAAACGCATGAGTTACCACTATTTGGCTCATTGACAGAGACGAATAAAATTAACAACGAGAAATAATAAATGTTTCGCCGCCATGGCGGGCCATGGCCTCCTTCAGAAAGACATCGCCTTCTCCGCTGGCCATTGGCAATGCCAGCTTCAAAGCTCTTGCCGACCGGTCACGCACTGTGACTTTGAAGGCCGCGCCCATGCCACCGCGTGCCAGCAGTTTGGCCGTTTTGTAGCGGCCAAACTGCAGGACACGCGCCACCCACCTTCTCTCCTCCTCCCTCTCTTCCTCAGAATCATCTTCCATGGCTTCGGCTTAAGCCACCGACGCGATGCCGACCGAAAGTTCAAAGTAAAATTTGAATTGGGTTCGGTGTCTTAGAATGTGATAGGTTTGAATTTCGAATTTGTCTAAGTGTTCCAACTTGCTGTGATTGGCGTCGGTAAGACAACGCAAATTAAATCTTGCAAGGTGTCATTAATACAGATGTGGCCTACTGTTACTGGCTGTGATTGTTGTGGGTAAGGGTATCATTGCTGTATAAAGCGGCACGCTGTTATAATAGATTTAAATTAGATATAATCATTTAATTATCAAATTTGGAATTTCATCAACCCAAAAGCTGACTTAAAATTTGGCTTATCTTAATTAAATGCTCCCCCCCGGGCCTCAATCCAGATTGAATCTGCAGCGGCAGGGCATTGATTGAATTGGTCCTGGGGCAATTTTAATTTTGGCTTGATATGACAAACTCAGTGTAACCATATGCCGGATTGTCAATAAAGGGCACTTGACAAACTCAGTATTAAAAGTGTTTTTTTCTCCCGGTATTACAGCAAGCTTCTAAGCCTAGACATTATTCTCATGGCCCAGATTTAATTTTGTAAACTCCAGATTGCTGGTTCAGCAAGCTGCTAGAATTGAACATTATTATGGCTCAGATTTAATTTTGCAAGCTCCAGATTGCTGGTTCAGCAAGCTTCCAGATTTGAACATTATTCTTCTTCTTATTATTATTATGGCCCAGCTTTAATTTTGCAAGCTCCAGACTGCTGGTTCAGCAAGCTTCTAGATTTGAACATTATTATGGCCCAGATTTAATTTGCAAGCTCCAGACTGCTGGTTCAGCAAGCTTCTAGATTTGAAGATTATTATGGCCCAGATTTAATTTAATTTTGCAAGCTCCATGGCCATGAAACAAAACAAAACGTCGCTGTCAATCTGCGCCTTGTAAGTCATAGAAGTTAGTCTCTCAAGCCCGACAAGGCCCGGCAAGAATCTTGCCGGACCTTGTCGGGCTTAATCGCCACAGTCAGCTCAAGCCCGGCAAGGCCCAGCAAGAATCTTGCCGGACCTCATCGGGCTTAAGTTCGCCAATCTCTGCAGTCAGCTCAAGCCCGGCAAGGCCCAGCAAGAATCTTGCCGGACCTCGTCGGGCTTAAGTTCGCCAATCTCTGCAGTCAGCTCAAGCCCGACAAGGCCCAGCAAGAATCTTGCCGGACCTCGTCGGGCTTAAGTTCGCGAATAATAAAATAATAGCTCCGAATCAGCTCAAGTCCGACCAGGCCCGACAAGAATCTTGCCGGACCTCGTCGGGCCTTAAGTTCGCCAATAATTTTCCACAGTCAGCTCAATCCCAATAAGGCCCAGCATACAATCTTGCTGGGCCTCATCGGGTTTGAACTTGAAATCACTGCATGGCCCAGACAAGGCCCGGCGTGACAGCCACCAGAACGGGCCTTGTCGGGCCTTGCTTTAACAGCGGGCCGCTGAACATGTTGCAGAGGAGCGCGTTCTGAATTATTGCAATTCAAGATCCACCAGCAAGATTTGCCGCCAAGATCTGCCAGAATAAAAAAAATCAGAACAATTGATGCTATTTCGAAATTCGGGGTAAATCAGTTTGGCATGATAAATCATTGAACTTAGTCATCAGCCTTTAAAGGCTAACCTCTCCAAAACCTGTGCGCGGACATGCCGTAATAATCCACATTTCACTTCAAGTCCAGCAAGGCCCGGTCAGAAGCTGACCGGGCCTGGCTTGGGCTTTGAAGCGAAATGCGCTTCAGTGATTTAAGTGGAATGTGGCTTGACGAAGTCAAACTGACAGCAACTCAACGCACAACGGCCCTTTTTAACCCCACTCCCAATCAAAGTGTCGTACGCGGTCGAGATCCTGGGCCAGTCTGTGCTGGGTCATAGGTCTTCTCACTTTTTCTTCGGCGGGGGCACCTTCGTCTTGCCCTGGGACCGCTGGGAGGGCTTCTTGCGCGCGGCATTTGGCCCCTTCTTCTTATTAGTGTCCTTCTTCTTGTGATTGTCCTTGGGGTCCTTCTTGTCAAAATTGTCCTTGGGGTCCTTGCGCTTCTTGCTGTCCTTGGGGCCCTCAGCCTCGGCTGCCAGCACCTGGTCGCCGCCGATGTTGTCATTCATCTGGGGCGTCGCCTTCCTCCACACCTCGGTCACTGTTTTCTCATCAAAGCAAATCTCGATCTTGTGCAGCACCCAGCTTTGGTTCTTCCAATTGTTACCGGCTCCCATCCAGGTCTTCTTCCACACCGGCCCTGTCCATTCTGCAAAGCAATCAGCACTTGGAAAGGGGCCCTGCACCACTGGCATGGCTCAGGATGCTCAGGATGGTTCTTGACAAGACCAAAAATGCTGCCGCGGAACAAAACATGCCAAACAAAAACCGTGACAAACATGGCCCTCCCCAAAAAACAAACACAGCACAAACATGACATGAACTGAACATGACAAGTGCCATGACATGACATGACATGACAAGCAAACCGTGACAGGCATGGCAAAAATTACATTTATATTATATAACTTATATTAACCGCTTCAATGCATGAATCTATAAAATAAATGCAATTGCATGGATGACACCTAAGCTTAGCTTACAAAATTAACCCGCACAAAGTTAATCAGTTGTCAACAAATTGCGACCAAAAACTTAAAAGATCCCCTTGATTGAATTGTATTTGTATGAAATTGATATCCTGGTCCTATGTCATATGAGAACCAGTTGCATTTTATACAGGGAATGCTGTTTTCAATCCATTCTTTTAAGACGCGCAAGTATTGATATGATTCAAAGCATCAAAGATTTGGGCAAGACCATTTTATAATCATGGTTTTTGAAAGCTTTTGAAGCAGCCAATGGAATATTCATTTTTGCACGCGTTTTCCGTATAATAAGCCGCCCTCGGTTCTGTATAAAATGAGTTAGCCGCACCATCGGGGGTAGTAATCAAGGGGTATTAAAATTATTATTTTTCGCCAAAAACTCTCACACTGAAGCTTTGAGTTGGGGGCATGCCCGCCGCTGGCCACTGCAAATCAACAAAAACGTTTTAAAGAACACCCGCCGGCCAGGTGAACACCCACCGTTCACCAGAGCATCTTTAAAATTAATGAGTTTGGTGAAAGCCACCGCCGGCCACCCAGAGCCAAGCACAAGGTTCAACCAAAGCATCAATTGACTAACAACCTCATTTGGGCTCCTATTTTTTTCAATGCATTTGTACTCAGCAGACTGAGTCACAGGCTCAGTATGACTTTGATTCATTGACAGGAGACGGGACTTGCCCATTGCTGGGCCCTGGCTTCGGAATGAATTTGCCCTTTGCCCGACCATGTCCATGGGCTGTCAAAATCTGACAGAGCAACCAGAGCAACCGCTATACAGCAGCAAGATTTCCTCAGGGATTTGAGTCGTATACTCCGCCTGGCTTCCAGCTGGCGCATTACGAGGAAGTCGTGCGGCGATTTCCGTTGCGTCGTCGCGAGGGCGAGGATGGCAAGGTGGGTGCCGCTGGCATGTCGGGTGAGTATACGCAAATCTTGGGGAAATTGTTTGCTGGCGCGGTCGAAGGGGTGTTGGCTCGCTCTGGATCAATGTCCTCTGCGGGAGGATCATCACTGGCTGAGAGCCAATCGAATCGGTTGCCGTTGCAGGACGGCACCTCGCCAGCACCTTCTGCTGAGCCGGTTGTGCCTGCGGGACAGAGTGTGCCAGCGGGGCCAAGCCTGTCTGCGGGACAGGGATCCATGCCGCTATATTGGCTTTGGAGGATGCACCGCGCGTGGATGTGCAGTTCGGCGCTGCTCTTTCCGGTGCTTCCGAGGCACCAACTGTGGAGTCGCAATTGAAGTGTCTGCAAGACGCTCTGCATGCGCCTCCTGCGGAGGGTGCAGACCTTCCGGATGATATTAAAAAACGGCCGGCTTCCAAGCAAAAGGTTTCCAAGAAGAATGCCGCAACCGGTCCTTCAGGCTCTGCGGGAGCAAAGAAGCGCCCGGCGGCTCGGGAGGAGGCTGCGCGTGGTGCCGTTGGGTCTGCGGGATCCAAGAAGCGTCCTGGTGCCTGCGAGGCATCCATGGCATCCGTGCCTTCACCAAGGGCTGCTCCTTCGGCTGGGTCTGTGCGACCAAAACAGAAGCTGCCGCCTGAAGGCAAGGCAAAAGCTAAGCCGAAGTCAGCCCATGGAAAGGCAGGAAAGAAAGCAATAGGCGTGGAAGGCCAGAAGGAATATCGACAGAGGTTGCTGGCCTCGATTCCGTCGGCCTTGAAAAAACGCTTTGCCAAGGGATGCCCAACATGTCGAAACAGAGCCTTCTGTTGCAATTCATGTTGGTTCAAACGAGGGTTTCGGGTGTAGGGAGTATTTTCCGTTCCGCTTCGAAGTGACGACATCATAGCGACTCCGTGGGAAAACAATGGGTGGGCACGTCGAGCTCTGCAGTGGTTGGTGGTGAGATATAAGTACTTGTTTTTTTTCCGACACAGCATGTTCTCCTCATATGAAGTTGATCCCCCAAAACAGTGGACTAAAGGCACTTGTTTATCCGGTATGCTTCGTTTTGGCTCATATATAGGGATGCAACTATAGATATAGGTGGGTATCCGCTGCCTGCCTGCGACTCTGCGAAGGCGTGGTCAGCGTATATATGTAACCTTGCACAACCTCCCCCAGTAAATGTGTTTGCTCACATGCGTGCCCCTTGGTCAGGTACTGCTGCGGCCCATGGGAGCTGACAGTGAGGACTACGAGTCGGTCACTGCAGAAGAAGAAGATGAAGCGGACGGGGATGAATCGCCTCCGCTGCCTGCGGGCGTGACCCCGAAGGCCAAAGCGGTGATGCCCCCGAGGGCTCCTTCCATGCCGCCGCCTACGCATGGAGCGTACGCGAAGGCAGCGAAAAAGGAGCCGCTGTCATCTTCTCCTTCGATCTCTCCCGCGCCTGCGAGGCGCCATCGACGACCGCGTGTGGACTCTGACGAGGGGTCTTCCTCGCCTCCGAAGGCGATGTCCAGTCGACCAGCGCCAGCGAGGACTCACCAGAAGCGGGCGGACAAGCCCACGTGTGACATCTGCTGGTTGCCGGTGAGTCCACATCCATCCAGCATGGATCAACATCGGCGATGGAACCTCCATTGCTTGCAGTGGCAGCAATGGAATACAGGACGCTGTTCCAGTTGGCAGGAGGCAGGGGACAAGGCCGTGCGACAGAAAGCGCGACGAGAAGCTCGCGCAATTCGCCAGCAGGCAGACGCGTATGGAGGGACGGGTAGCAAGGCGGCAGAGCCGCCGCCTGCGCCGGCTGTGCCTGCGGGGCACAAAGAGCATGACAGGGACCGGCGACGTCGTCGCCATAGAAGTCAGGATGAGAAGAAGAAAAAGAAGAAGAGCCGGCGCAGTGGGCGCGACCCAACTCCGGAGGTGGCACGTCCGGAGCGTCATCGCCGCCGACGCCCATCGTCCTCGGACTCCGAGGAGCCGCAGCCCAGGCGGTCGAAACGACCACGGCAGCTCATCATCACGCTGCCGGCCGATGTGCGCATCTGAGCTGCCTGGCTGCGCGCCGTGGCATGCACATCCAGGTTTGAAGTCCTTGAGCCGCTTTTGAGGCGGAGCCTTTTCTATTCTGCAATATATATCTGGCCGCGAGCCAGGGTGTAGGACACCGACAGACCGGCGGGGTCGATCTTGGTGTTGCAATGAAGTATAAGGTATGAAAAGGGCGCCGATGAAGGACTTGGGTCTGTCATTATGTTATAAACCCTTGCTTCAAAAGACTCTCTGCAAACAAAGATCACCATGTACGCTTCCAAGCTGTTGCTTCTCTTCGGACAGACCCAACTTTGTCCTTCTGCACAGATGGCTACAAAAGGCCCTCTCTATAGACCAGCACGTTGGACCGTGTCCCGCCGTGTCATGCCAAAAAAGATGCTGGGGTTCTGGGGCTAGTACAGGCAACAGGTTTCGAGCAGGTTTTCCGGGCAGGGTAACTCCAAGGGGTTCTCGCAAGGTACGGCCGCAGCCATTTGGGTCCACAGGGAGTAGCTGAACTTTGCCTCGTGCCATGTCCAGCCCGACGGTTCCGGACTCGGGTGATTTCTATGTTCTCGAAGACGTCTGCGTGACGTTACACAGCTGTGCGGAGCGTCTGGAAGACAGCATAAAGGTTTTGCAGCTGATAGGGGGTCTTTGGAAATGGATTCTAGGGTCCTTGGTGATTTAGTTCTACCTCTGATTGTGTGATATATGTTTTCCATTATTTATTTCTTTATCTATCTTATCTATCAAGGTAGGTGGCCTTGGTATATACTAGTGACAATGATCCCAAAGGAAAGATCGTCTTGGGCTAGTGTCCCTTGGATGTTTCAATATATTGTTACTTCTTATCCGCCATTCGGTAATCATGCCAAGATGGGGATTGATAATTAGTATCTCCATCCATTTACCCTTCTATTCGTGGAAGTGCCAGTCAGAACAAACGATCACCATTCGATCGTAGTTCAAATAGGTTTTTTTGGGTTGGGTACTTTGATAAAATATAAATATATATTATATATCAATATATGCAGCCGATAGGGGGTCTTTGGAAATGGATTCTAGGGTCCTTGGTGATTTAGTTCTACCTCTGATTGTGTGATATATGTTTTCCATTATTTATTTCTTTATCTATCTTCTCTATCAAGGTAGGTGGCCTTGGTAAATACTAGTGAAAATGATCCCAAAGGAAAGATCGTCTTGGGTTAGTGTCCCTTGGATGTTTCAATATTTTTAATTCTTATCCTTCTTTCGGTAGTCATGCCAAGATGGGGGTTGAAAATTAGTCTCTCCATCCATTTACCCTTCTATTTGTGGAAGTGCCAGTCAGAACAAACGATCACCATTCGATCGTAGTTCAAATAGTTTTTTTTTGGGGGGTTGGGTACTTCGATAAAATATAGAATATACTATATCTATGTTGTGCAATTGATCTGGGTTCTCTGGAAATGGATTCTTGGGTCTTTCCAACTATTTTATATATGATAATGGAATTGAATTGTATTATAGGTACTTTATTATTTTCCCTATGAGGTAACCAATTGGTTGATTAAATGGGTATCATCTTACCATTGGTTATTTAATATAACTATTTGTTTTTTTACCATACTCATAGAAAATTTTATGTGCATTATTATGTTCATTCTTAGGCAACCACTTGGTTGGCTAAATTGATATCATCCCAGTAACGGTTACGGTTATTTTATTTTATGATATTCCTTGGATTAACTGGGGTCCACTACCATTTCTGAAGGGTACCAACCAATTGCTGGATCA